GAGACACAGTGCCGGGGGGGGGGGGGGAGTTCTGGAAGACAGCTATATTTGCCCGAGATTAGAAATTATCTAGTTTACAAATTACAGTCTTTCATATTTGAATGAAGAATGTCTTGCATTTCGGAAAGCAAAAATGGAATACATTCTTAAGACTGAGTAGCAGACTTTTTATAAAGAGGCTTTCCTGTTGAGATTTTTGACAGATAGCAGGAGTATATAGCGTATGATTGGTAGAGCTGTCTTTTTATTCTAAAGATCTGAAGCAAAAGAAACATGAAGCTGTCTGTCTGTGGAGAGCTCTTCTTTAAAGTTATCTCATTAAAATATTTAAGTCATAAGTAATTTTATTAAAATATTAAAGTATATTCTTGTTTGGGTTCTTCCATTAAGGCAGGTAGTAGGTGCCTGTTATCAATTGCCAGGAATTGCATTTGAGAGGACGCTGATTCTTTTTTCAGTCATGTTGAGCAAATGCTGTAACGCCATAGCGTATGGGAACAAAGTGATAGTCAAGGGAAATGATCAGAAACTATACATGGAGGATCTGAAAAACTCAGGCTGTTCTGCTTGGAGTAAGTCAGTGTTCACAGTTTGAGGTGTGAACTGCAAGTAACACTTTAAATATTAGATATGTGATGAAGCAGCAATTGCCAAAGATCTAATCTTGATGAATGTTTTTGAGCAAGGAATTCTTTCATAATGAACTAAGCACTGTTGATATCTAAAGAGTTTTGTAAAAGATCCTAAACTGTGGTTTGTCTTCATAGCATTAGCACACACTGTAGATTTTCTGGTGGTTGCAAGGTGAATTCTATTTTCCAGCTTCTTCCACTATCAAGTTATTGAATATTTCATCTTCTGTCTTACTCGGTGGATCATGTATTTCATTTTGGTGTGTTTCAAGCAATAGTAATGTTAGCAATTTCTCTCTTGGAACTTACATTTAAACACCTGTAGCCTTACATCTAAACAGCTGTAGCAGTTGAGTATTGTGATCCCAAGTGAAGAACTGAGCTGGTGTAACAACACAAGATGTTCCTGCACCTCTCCGCTTTGATGCAAAGTCCAGCAGCAAAGGGACAGTTAACACAGTCCCTCCTGCTGACTCTGTTTTGTGTGGTTAACTGCTTGCAGTTTTTTCCTAAATGGGTGCCACTAGGCTTGACATAACTAACTTGTCAGTGCACAGAAATAATCATGAAGCATTAAAAAAAATTGTCGAGAGGTTTCTACCACCTACACTGGAGTTACTGCTTTTTGAAAAGATGGATGGGCTCGGGTGTACCAATTTAAAATGTCCTGTCACCAGAATTACTCGGTAGCTATGAATGTCTATGAAGTTTTTAATAAATTTTTTGAATGTGCCAGGTTCTTCAATGACACAGGCATGCCCTGTTACAGGTTAGGGGGAGGAAAAATAGGCAAGTTTTGTGTCCCGTGTTGTTTCTTAACATTTTTCACACTGGGAACCTGCCAGAGGTAAAAGTATCTGCTGGAAAGCACAAACCTGAGAAAGTTTCTGTAGTATCAAAATGACATTTTAGTGTGCATGCCCTTTTCTTTTGGGAGTCGCATTTTGAGTGTTTTCCTTCAGTTAGCAAATAAGAAGTCCGACAGGTTATAGAAGTCATGAAGACAATCCAGTATGAGGTTTATTCTGCTCATACTGAACAGAGACAGTGTAATCAGACAATTTCTTTGTGGATGAACTGCTATCTTGTAAGGGAAGATGCATGAAAGCTGAAGGTAGTGGTTTTGTAAAAAAACAAACAAATATATGTAGGTTCATTATTCTTTTTCTTCTGAGTGAGAACACAGCTTTTTTTGTTAGCTAAATTAAAAATGCATAAATAAATGGAAAAATTAAAGCAATGGATGTACTGTGTGTGTCCCTCACACATTCTGCTTTATTCTTAAAAGAGTTTTATATTGTGTATTTGAGAGAAGATAAAGCGCAGAACTGTGCCTTTCCTGCTGGTTTGTCTTTTTTTGTTCCTGGCCACCTTCCACTGTAATAAATAAGGCTGCATCTTCAGGTAACTAATCCAGAAAAATTCAGTGTTTAATGAATTTATCCTATGTAAGAATTTTGAAGTGAGACACTGAGTTTAGGCCAGGGTTTTTTGTTCAGTGATGCCACATACAAGGACAATGAAAGAGGACCCAGTTTAGTCTACCGATACCCTGCCCTTCCTTAACGTTAGCATTCTATGATAATTCTAAACATTGGGGAAACCTCTTGACATGAACCATCAGCAATTTTATCAACTTCTTTTGGCTGAACATTTTGTAGAGTAATGGAGAGGGCATGTTAGCCAAGATTTATTAAGCCAAAGTTATTAAGAACAGCAGAACATTCCTCCCTCTTTTTCTCACACCACCCACCCACCCACCCACCCATCCATCCATCCATCCCAAGGCCCTGCAGAAGCGTAGTAAGTGTATGAGTCTGTTACACCTTGTATAAACAGAGAGGATCAGAAAAGAGAAGTGATAAGGTAGAAAGCCCGCTTTTTCTGCAATTTGTGTTCAAAATGCAAGATAATCTCGGTAACCAAGTTTTCGATGTCTTGAGAGAGTGTTACGTAAGCAAACATTGAACATGACATAGTCTAAAACACTAGAACTTCTTCTCAAGTATTATCTTATAAATCTTGCTGCTGTTACAGTATTTGCTTTCAGTAGCTGTAGAAAGCAATTGATGGAATAATTTAGGTTGGAAGGGAGTTAGAGAAGGTTGCTCAGCCTTGTCCTGTCAAATGTTGAAAATCTGCCAGGGTGATTCCGCAGCATTCATACAGTTACAGCATCAACATGTAGTCATTAGTGGAAGTGTTTCTTTGAGAGGGCCTCTTTTGAAATGAGTAAGCAGTTGAAAAGGGAGAAGAGAAAGTGTTTGACATTTGAAGGTGTTCATGCCCATTATGAAAAAATCAGAAACCACTGACAGTGAAATCTGTCTGCTACTTGAAATGTTCTTGTTTTGAACTAATAACTCTTATTCTTATGGTAATTTATATTTCCAGTATGTGGAAAATGTTCTTGGTTGTTGCTTTCTATTCTGTGTGGTATTTTGGGTCTGCCTGATTTTTCCCACCCTCCCATTCCCAAATTTTTTTTTCATTCTGGTTCTTTACTATGGTTTTGATAAATGAATGTTAGCGAGTTTGATGGGGAAATCCTATGTATCCTGTAATAATGAACGACCAGTAATTCACGGATGTGTTTTTGTACTGCAGACCAAAATCTACACCAACGGGGCAACCCAGTGCCAATGGAGTACAGTCAGAAGGTCTAGATTATGACAGATTGAAGCAGGTACGTATATAATGCTTTGAATAGAGAACTTGGGTATAAGAGCTTGTAGCTTGTAGTTCTTAACTGTTTTCTTAACTAGTTCCAAACTTAAATAATGATTTAGTAATTATTAGTCATTATTTTTCCCCAGCGGATGGGTTCCAGACTTGGCGGGTTCAGGGGATGGATGTTTGTAGGGGCATGGTGTTGGTGTTGGCGGCAGTGATTTTTAGAGGGGGTGTGAATTGTGGAGTTGGAGGTGAGGGATCTTTCTCAAGTGGTGTTTGGATTAACGGGCTGGTCCCTGAGTGGGGAGGGAGGTTCTGGAGCGGGTTCTAGCTTGGCTGCTGAGTCCAGAGTGGGTTCTAGCTTGTCAACCGGTTCTAGAGCAGGTTCCAGCTCAGGGAGAATTTCTAGGGTGAGTTCTGTCTTCATGGTTGGTTCTAGATTGGGTTCTGGCTTGGTGTGCAGTTCTACAGTGGGTTCTGGCCCAGTGGGTGGTTCTGGAGCATGTGGGTGGTTGTTCTAGAGTCTAGTTCAAGAGGTACTCATGTTTTGTCATCTCAAGAGGATTTTCAGTACTCTTGCTACAGCTTCCATGAAATGCCGCTGCTGATAGCAGCCTGGCTGCCTTTTTTTTTTTTTCCTTCTGTTTTCTTTTTTTTCTGGGGAGGTTTTTTTTTCTTCTCTATGGTTCTTTCAAGTTGAAGGCACACAGGATGAGGATCCTGTCATCCCATGAAGTGCAGCTCTCCCAAGTTTCCAGCACACTGACTCTTGGTGCCTCTGCTAAGATTCTTTTCTTTGGAAGCAAAATCATGTCACACTCTATTTCTAGTGGACATGTGGCAAGCTCTTACTTGCCGCTGCCCTTCCAAGCAACTGGTGGCCATGCTCCTGCTCCAAGGCTTCTTGCCGCTTGTCCAAGAGTCTCATCTAAGACTTGGTGAATTGGGAGACCTACCTCTGCAACTTTGATATGTGCTCTTATGCCAGGAATGATTTCAGGCAGGGAAGGTGTGTCCATGCATGTGTTCCACCAACGGCTCATGAAGGACTCGGAAAGTCTAGAGTAGAGTAGTTGAACACTCAGTTGCGAACAGTATGCTAACCTCAAAGCTGAAAAAGAAACGGCTGAACTCTTCTGGATGAGTTTCTTGCTGACTACGGATTTGGCCAGGAGGTGACAATCTCCTCTACAGAAACAGACACTACCCCTTACTCTGCTTGTAAAAACATTGTCACCAAATCTTCAGTTAACATCACTTAGATGAAAGGATGGAGAAAACAACAAGTGGAGGATGGCACTTCACTCGGTCACCTTCATTCCCTCACATTCCACTTGGTGACTGGGAATACCTTGGTATCTTGAGCCCTCTTTTTTTCCTTTGAATATTTCCTTGGCTTGCGGTTTTTAGTTAGCTACTTTCTGCATTTCACATCACATTTCATCTGTAGCAAAGCTTTCTTATTTTAAAGGGATGTGCCAATTTTTTTTTTTTTTACTTATTTAGCAATTACATTAGTGCAATAGTCTGAATTCACCATGTCCCTTCTCTCCTAAGTTCTACAGGAATCAATTTGTAGGACTTCTACGGAAGGTTTTTTGTTTCTTCATTGTATCTGCAGTAAGAATCTTTTAGGGATGCTTTAGGTTTGGCGGATTAACTTGGAAGGTAAAGGCTGGGTTATGCATTTCAGAAGGGTTAAATGTTGATGAAAGGTTGAAAGAATTTTGGATTTCTTTCAGCAGAAAATTACAGGTGGCAAACCTAACCTGTTCATGTTGCAAAACTAATCTATTTTTTATGCTTTCTGACACCATAGGACATTTTAGATGAAATGAGGAAGGAGTTAACGAAATTAAAGGAAGAACTCATTGATGGTAGGTATCAATCTCTTTGCTGCTGTTGTTCAGTCTTAGAGTAAGTAGCTACAGGTGCACAACAATGTAAATATAATGTGTTTCTAGCCCGAGAATGATATATTGGTAAAAGTAGCTTTGTTTTTAGTCTGGTAGCATACTTCCATTTGTGGCAGACCCGTTCTGATTGATGTGCTTGTATGTTTTCTTCTCCTGTGCTTTTTGTTTTAATAGCACATTGATACCAAGTAGTGTCTTTTAAAAGTGGTTGGAGGGGTGCTGTATTTGAGTGATTTGCAGTTATCCTTTTATCATGTGGTGGTAGGTGGGTTATTTTTAAATAATCCAGAGCTGCTGAGGTGCATATTTCAAGACCAGTAATATCCAGACTAGGATTGTGCTTCCAGCTTTCAGTCTTGTCCTCTTCGGTCTGTAACATAAGAGACAAAGAAAAGAATTCTTACAGTTTTTATTTTAACAGAAGATATTTTCCTAAGTAGTCTTCTGTAGTTAAGGGAAGTCATTGAGAAAGGATAAAAAAAAAAACGGGGGGGGAGAAAAAGTCGTATTAAACTGATACCACTGCTGGTAAAATATCAAATGTCATCAACTGATGTCATAGAAAGAGCTGGCTAGTTTTGGGCTACAGAGAATGCAGTGCTTTTCCCTATATTTTGACTGTGCTGTGTACCGCAGCCTTTTAGAACAGTACGATGCAAACAAGGGAGGGCCCTGAGGCTGCTCTTAAAACAAGTAAAAAATTAAAATAAATGAGGCCACACATATGCTCCTTGATAATCCCAGTGGTAGTGATTGTCATCAGGTAAGGCCATAGACTTGCTGGAGATGCAGAACTGAAAAATAGGATGTTAACAAAAATTTTACAGGAGGAAAAAGGGTTGTCTGAAGCCACATGAAGCTATCTTACATATAGGTTATTCACATTATAAGACTGTTGGAGCGGGGTGAGCCTTCTTTAAGTGGTCAGTTGTGTATTCTGGCTTTTTGCCTTGACTTTGACTATTTGATTTGTTAACCTCTCTCTCTCTCTCTCTCTCTCTCTCTCTCTCTCTCTCTAGCTATCAGGCAGGAACTCAGCAAGTCGAATACTGCATAGAAAGACTAGTACTAAGCCGATGTGGCTCTTTAACTTGGTATAAAACTGACTACGTTTTGTGAGCTGTTAGAAGAAAACGGAGACAGACAGACACCTGGAAGGAGGGTGAAACAACCTATTCTGAAAAGCTTCAGACACATCACTCTGGTGATAATGCTATTCCCCTCCTAGTTTGCAGCTTTTTTCTGACCTTTACAGCAGGGTGGAAAAGACTCTTAAAGTTACTGTAATGATTATGCAGAAATTCCTACACCTATCAGACAAGATCACAGTGCTTTGAAGTCTACTCATGTCAAGATAAAATTGCACATGTTTCAGAATTTGTTGTTAAGACAAAAAACAGGGAAAAGCTTGGGAAGGCTTTTCAGAGAGGTTTTCTTAATGAAGGAGTTAGCAAGTTATACTGTTGTACTTCAGATGTATCTCAGGTTTGTCTTCCTATCGTATCTGATATTTCCATGAATAATTTAAAAGATCAGATGTGTAGAAGTTCAGTTCACAAAACATGGAACAATTAGAAACGCGTACTTTTAAAGGGCAATATTCGTAAGTGAATGACCTAGCAGTGATGACATATCAAGATTTTGGAATTTTATGATAGGAAGCCTCTCTAGTTAGCCTTCATGCAATTTTATAGGAAAATCAAAAAAGCAAATACAGTCCAGAGTTTAAAGATGTAGATGCCTTCCTACATTGTTACAATGCTTTACCAAATCTAAGACTTCTACATAATGCGAATCAGCAGTCAAATGTAAACCATTAGTATGTTGTAGATTTACAGTAGATTTTGGGGCTTTTTTTAGATTTATGCATGTGGACATTTTTGTAATGTAACACAACACAGCCAGCTTTTTAATTAAAAGAAAAATTGCATGTCACAGAGTAGCCTTTTCATTTGTAAGGCTTAATTTATGCCCAGAAAGATGGGGGATGAGGGAGGGGGAAGGTGACACATTTTTCTTACTTTCTACACTTTTTCTTCATCTTACATGCATGTGTAATAATGAGGAAAACGTGACTTTTATCAGTAACCATGTTAATGGAACCAAGTACTTAATCCTTTTGTATCTTTTTTCAGTTTTCTATTTGTAATTCAGTAATACTTCCATAATGGTTCTGAAACTCCCACGTGAACCTAACTCATTTCTTGGTGAGAGAACAAATGTGTAGGCATCTGAATTACTGAGGATGCCCCTGTGTAAGTGCGTTGTCCTTTACCTTTTTACCATGACCCTCTGCTTCACTCTTTTCTGAGACTCCTTATTCAGTTGTTTAATGAAACAGGACAGCAGCTAGTTACCTTAGAACAACGGAGCATCAGATCACAGTAATTGTCCCCTTCTCCTCCTAATTTATCTGCCACCCTCCTTCCAAAAAACTCAAAACCAACAAAAAACCCCACAGCTCCACACAACCCAAACCCTGAAAAACAGCAATGGTATGCCATTGGTTTCGGTTAACACTTCGATAATCATTTTTAGGGGAGATGATACCTTTCTGTTTCCCAGGGTTTCAGATTTTATGCTTGTAAATTTTGGGTTTTTTAGTTGTTTTTTCTTTTTTTTTTTAATGTGGTACAGTTCAGTGGAATAGAAATTCTGTGAATTGGATCTGTAGTGCTTTGGACAAAGAATATGGATCAAAATCTTCCCTTTTCCTTTGCACTGTCAATTTTTCTGAGCCGTAACAGTGCCATGTTTGCTTTGGGATCTGTGCTGATCCAAAAGAAGTTTACTTACAACTTTTGGAGAGATTAATGTTTCAGCTTAAAAGTATATGCAGCTCCATTCGTAGGACAAATGCTTTCAATAACATACTGTCTTAAGTGCTGAACACCAAAGCAAAACAGCACTTACAGCTTTGGAAAGGCTTCAAAGGGAATTTTTTCTCCAATTCAAACATTTCCTATTTCTGTCGGTTCAAATTCTAAGAGAAGACTACAGTGGAAATATTGCCTAACTCCATTTATTAATCATTTTTTAAAAAGAAAAAAGAAAAACAAAAACATTTTTCTGCATGCATTTACTGAAGGCATTGAAAAAAAAAAATCCGTAGTAAGCTTGTCAAGTACTGTTTTTCTCAAAACAAGAGGAGGCATTTTCATCTTTGTTGATGTAACTTTTTGTTTTACACGGACTTTTTGAGCATTAAGGAAGTTTACCCTTGTCAGAAATCATGTTTGATTTGTTTCTAGGAGAGTTCAGGAGTAGCATAGTGGAATAGTGTGAATGGGTATAAGTGGTCCAAAATTAAAGGCTGAACTACTAGATTGTGCAAGGAACTGGCTTATGCACTAAACGTTTTGTGCCTTGGTCTACAATTAACATGATTTCTGTTTAAAAGAAAAAGGAACAGATGTCGTCTTTTGTGCTGCTTCTACATACATACTTTCTGTAATCCCAAACTGCCGAATTGGTTCTTTCCAGAAAATCTGATTGAATTAAAGATTACTGTAGAAGTTTCCTGTCCTACTGACAGTTGCACCGTTTCCAGAGATTTCAGTATTGAAAATGAACGGCAGAAGCTAAGATTATTCTGCTTACTGGTAACTAAGTTCTTTAAAAACCATATTGTGGTGATTCTGTGCTTTTGTACAATGGATGTCTTAAGCTGAGGGCAGTTTAAGGGATCCTTTCTAATGCCAGGAAGGCGTTGCTTTCCTCAACACTGTGATCTGACCTGTGATAAACCTGTACTATAGACAAGTGGCTGCCAAGTCAACTGCAAACCAACTGAATGTAAAAATCTTAGTGCTGGTGCTGAAATCTCTTCAGATAGTCATAATGATTTCCAGTTCATTGTTTTAAAAAGTTATCGAGCATCAAGTGTCAATCAAAGACTGAAGATGATCACTAATGAATGTTGACTTTTCGTGCATTTAGGTTTACCTTCTTTTTAGTTTCTCAGTTCATTCTCTGCTATTTTTATCATATTGTGTCATTTTAAATTTCTTACATGCTAACGTTTTGTTTGAGCGAATGAAATAAAATTGCAATATATAAACGTTGCCACCATTTATTTCTGGAACTTCGTAGAAGACTCTCTGAGGTTTACTACTCGAATTCCCCAAATTTTTAATGGCTGCGATCATTCCTTACTCCTTGATTCCACCCTCCTTTCTGTTTCTCCATCAGAAGATTCGGTAGAGAAAAGTGAAGACTTACCTTACAAAGAATGTAATTGCAGGGACTGTGTAACATTCATCAACGGTAACTGCTGTACATAAATTAAAATCCATTTTAAATGTATGATTTGATTTACATTCTCACATGGCATACACTTTGGTCTCTGTATCCACGGAGAACTTGGAAGGGAGGGAGAGGGAAAGACTGGGGGAAAAATAATTGCAGTTAGTCTGACTTTTTATTTTGCTGCTTTTATGTTCATGACTTATTTTCAATACTGGTAATAAAGAAAACCTACCATGAAAGATTAATATAGCTTTCTGTGCACTAAGGACAGTTTTGCTCAATTTGTCTTACAGCGGAATATTGAGAGTAGCTGTTTAAATGTCCTTGACTTAGCATCCTGAAAGCTGTACTTCTCTGCTGTTGTTTTTTGTTCAGAGAGGTAACAGAACAATCCTGCTTCGGCAAACCGTTGGACCCAGTGCCACTTTTGGCACCAACCTTAATGAGTTAAAGGTTTTTTTTAAATACGATTATCACTAGATTCTAAAATGGTCTGCTATTATTGGGGCAGTCTTTAGGCAACAAGTATAAAAATTTCTGATTTAAATTTCTGAACAGTGTTACAACATCTGTCCGTCGGTGTCAAGAGATGTATGGTATCTAGTTTTTAAAGTTGTGTTTTACAAAAGTAGGAAGGTGGTCTGCGGTTGATCAAACTGGTGGTTATCAGCACTTTACATAAGCTCTTCTGAAAATGTTTAATTGGGCTCAGTTCCAGTGCTAGATATTACTTGCCAGTGTGTCTCTTACGACTAATCATACAAAGCTTGCAGAATCAAGAGAAGATTCCCTCTGCTTTCAGTAGGTGAACAAGACTGGGCTGATGAGGAGCAAGGAAACAGTTTTCCAAACTGGCTTTGTACCCAAGACTAACAATTCTTTGGGGGACTGTAAATTTTCCTGACTGTGTAGGCTGTCACTGGGGGGGGTGTGTGTGTGTGGTGTGGTGTGTGTGATAGAGAGCAGGTGAAAAGGGAAGGAGTCAGTGATTTCAGTGGACCTGGGGCCAGTGCAAAGTATGTGAAGAACAGGCTAAAGTTCACTTAAATAATTTGTTTTAGGGGGTGATTTCTGGGTATGAAAGTGCTGAGCATTATTTAATGCTCAGTTACGTGCTGTCTAGGAGAGTCTTAATGGAAAGAGAGAAGTCTGTTAAATCAACTGTCACAATACATATTTACACATCCAAAAGGGTATATCATTAAGTCAGCCCATATGAAGGCCTGACAGGAGTTAAATATTTATTTTAATTCCTTGGAGACGGTCACCTAAGACTGTTGAAATTGATATGTCACGTCAGGAAATTGTTCAAGTTGATTTAGGTTTGTATCTCAATAAAAAAATAGGACTTGGCATAATTGTCCAAGATACAGAAAAGGAGGTGTAGGTCTAGATGCTGGGAAAGCACAGCAAAACCTTGAAGTCACAGCACTGGTGTCTGCATCTTACCTGGTAATCGGCACCGTCGTTCCTTGCACGGGTGGTTCTTCAGGTAGTTGGTTGTCACAGTGATGCTGAAAGTCAAGGAGCTTTGAAAAAGTACCTCCACTTTATAAATGGATCCCAGTTGAACTCTCAGTCAATAAATGCGTTTTTCTAACGTTTAGTTTATGGAGCTTGGTGTCCTGAATCTTACTCAATGAGTATTCTTCATCTGGTGTCCTACTTTGATAGACTGCTAAATGGCAAAGACGTTGAGCAATTCCTGCAGATGAACTGTATTGCTGCTCTGGCTGCGCTGCACTCGGCTGCAGGCTGACAGTTTTCTGTGTTGAGATGCTTAATTTTGCCATCGTTGTTGTTCAGTTACGCGGACCACCTTCTCCTCCCTACCCAGCCTGTTTTAGAGCTGTTCCTGGTGTGACATTCTCACTTCTCTTTGCGACTGCAGGTCTCTTCTGCAACTGCTTGAGCACAGTAGAGTTGGAAGTGATCTCGCATCATGATCCTATGTTTACTGTCTTAAATCTTAAGTGTATTTTTTTATCACCAGCCAGCTGGAGCCACTTAAGTCCCTACCTACCCTCTGAACAACTTTCAACTCGGCAATAAAGCTATCTATGCTAACTGCGCTGTGAGTGTGCTGAACTGTATCCTGGTTTTCTTTGCAGAGCCTCTAGGAGTTGGTCCGCAAGCTGCTGACACAGGCAGAGAAAAACTTAAAGAAGTGAGTGTTAAGAAGAGAAAGCATAAGGGAGTTCTGGAAGTGTTCGGTGTGGGCTGATACCTGCAGGGAAGGAAGCAGCTAGAAGCAAGGGGGGCTGCAAGAGGCCTGGAAACTCGCAAACAGGTTTTGAACCCAGTCTGGGTGTTGCTGGAACCCACAAATTCAGATAGTCAGGAGAGGTGGCTTTCTGGGCAACCTTAAGGCTGCTTGCCCATTGTTGTAGGCCTAGTACATTTAAAAAAAAAAAAAAAGAAAAAAAGAAAAAAAGGAGAAAGATTACTTCTGTGTTGAAGGTAAACTATCTGCTGCTTGACATTTTTTTCCCAGTACTGTCTTGTGAAACCAGTTTGACCCTACATAGCTCGGTAAGTCCTGTGATGCTGCGGAACCAGCCCCAGCAGCTGAAACGTAGCCCTGACGGAAGGGGGAGTGCAGATGCGCTCATAAATGCCTCCCGAACGTGGATCTAGGGGAGCCTGTCGCTGCCACGAAGCCTCGGGGCTGCAGCAGATGAGAAACACAGTTTTATTTGGCTCTTAGGCTGAGACCTTTATCTCTGCCATTGAACAATGCTCGTATTTGAAGCACAATTGGCCAAAAATGTGCTTTATCTCTGCCCAGTAATCTTTGCTCTGCTAATGAGGAAAGCTCTCCGTGGCTCTCAGTCCCACAGGCTGGCACCCTACAGTGTAAGAAGCGGAGAGGGGCCCGAGAGGAGTGCGGCCCCGATGGAGTTGGTCCATCAAGGGGCTTCACAGGGTAAGTGAAAAATCCTTTCCCTTGTTCAGAGCGAGCAATTACAGAAATGCAGCCCTGTGGAGTGCTAGGTGATACTGCCGGGTGCCCGCAATGCTAGAAAGACACCGGCATTCATGAAGGACTGTTGTCACGTATGCTGGTTTTGTCAGCAGATCATCTTCAAGAATAACTGGATATAACACAATGCTCCTCGTAGCCTGACCTGACGGGCAAAGCTTTGTATTCTGCGTATAACGTGGCCTTAGATGTTATTTT